TCGTCGGTGCTCCATTCGAAAGCGATATTTGTATTTCGTGGGACGTGCCGCCTCTGCCTCCTTATCGTGAACACACCCAAGGAGATTCACCAGAGCGCGTTTCTCTTTTATCGCGTCGCCTTACACTGCAAACAGAACGAATGACTACTTTTTGCCGCGGTTACTTTTATCGGGTACAACGTCGATATCAACACGTTGTAGACTATACGAATTGGGCTTAATTATTCGTTCCATATTTTTTTTTTTTTTTTGTAAACGATATATAGTTACATTTTTAACGCTACGCTTATTTTTATGTAATTTTATGTATTTAATATAAATAAAATATCGTAAGAAGGAAAAGGACGACATAGAAAAAGAAATAGAAGTAATACTATGTGGCTGGAGTAAAAAGTTTTTGACGTTTGAAGAATCTATTTAGAACCTATATACCTTGCTGAATTTTCTATAATGAATGTTTGAAATAAGCTTTAAGTTTGAGTTAGATATACTTTCGTGTCATTTTATAAGGCTAGCGATAGGGGATCGAAAGTTAAAATTTCCATGAAAAAGTTAGTGAGTAAAGTAGCTTGTCGTTTAAGCACCATCTACCTATCGCGTTCTTAATACTTAATTGATCGATAAACCAATTAATCCACTGTGGCGTTTCACAGTAACTTTACTATGTAATAGACTCGGATAAATCCACTTTAGTTTTGCTTTAATGGGTGCAGAATGAAATGTGCAATTGCTAAGCCAACTAGAGAACTCCAGTAGAGAATTATAATACAGACATGTTTCAATATTTTATGACGATCGTTCGATCTACGGGGCTTTGACATTTCGATAAGTGTTGCACAATTTTATCACGATATTTTGATCAACGAAATTCCAAAATTTCGGCAAATATTTTCAAATTTCGTCACGACGTTTTAATCTACGAACTTTTAATTTCGTTAACGAATCTTTCGAAATTTTATCCCTATCTTTTGAAACGTGTCTGTCACATCCCAAACATAGCTATTGTTTTTCTTTAATTACCGACTAAGAGAGCCTGAGGCGTCGCTGTACAATTATTCTAGTCGATCTTCAGCGCCAATGGAAATGAAACTGGCGTGCGTTGGAGAGAGTTGGTGGCGTTGCGCTTGAGGCATAATTCTTTAAAAAGGGACAACCCAAGGGGGAAAGTAAAAGAAAAAAAGCAGAAAAAAAATGAAATGTCTCGATGATCGGCCAGAGGAAAATACCCCGCGGCTCAGCTAGAGACAGAAAGAAAACACTTTCGGTTTACGGGACCCTGTATACGGTTTATAATATTATAAAGCTACGTCGATGGAAGGGGAATAGCTTAAGGGGTAAAGAAAGTGGCGAAGGAATGAATCATCTGCAGGGTAGTTTCCTCTGAGCGTGCCCATAGCGGCGAAAAAATAGAAACAGACGGTGCTTGGTCAGACGAAGTAACGCGACGGTGTGGCTGAGATAAGGCGGCTGACACGTTCGAGCACGTTCTACTGATTCTCTTAAGGGTATTGATTAGGATTACAGGCACGTGTTCGGATATTTAATCTCATTTCGATTATAGTTTCTACCATTGGAGAGATTTTGCTGTTTTCTTAAAGCGAAGAATAAAATCTGAAGTAGCGGATTTCTTTATTCTTCATTTCGATGGTTTTCTTAAGTTTGCGATGCTATAGTGGGACACCGGGAATATTCAGCAGTTATTTTTGTTTCTGACATTTCTGAGAGATAATGTCTGTTCTTTATAATTGTGGTCATTTTTTACCATAATAACGTAAGATTAAATATGCATATTTTAAAGACGTTTGTTAGATACGTTGGTTTGGTAGACAGATAAATTATACGTTAACTTCAGTTATTTAAATACTTCCAGTTTTGTAGGGGAATGTTCAAAACACTCATATTTATTTAACATACGGTCTAATATAAATGGGTACGTATGCAAACGAGAAGAGGAATAAAGGGCCGAAATAAAATAATATCTTGAAATTATGCTAGAAATATGAAACGTATATGCACGTGCACATAAAAGTTCAGATATGCAATGCAAGGATATAAAGTGCAACAATAAAGGCGATGGAGTGCATAAACAACTTTATATTCTCGGAGGAAAAATTATAGTGCAAAAAGTTCTGATATATTCGTCGTGAAACTTGCTCACAAAACAAAAATGTGTACAAGTAGTTAACACTAGAATTATTAACGTTTAATGTGTACCTGAAAATATGTCATACGCAGACAATTATAACTAGAGTGATAAAAGTAATTGCCCAAAACCATCATTTTTACCAATGTATCTACTATTAAAAACTACCATATATACATATATATATATATATAGATATATATATTATAAATTCTAACGTAGAAAACATTACTTTTAACTCTTGCTGCAGTGTTCAATTATACAGAAACATAAAAAGCATTTTATTTAAATTCATAGTGCAGTATCCAATTATGCAAAAATATAAAAAAAAGCGTTCTTTTCTTACATTCAAAGCATAGTGGTAAATTATGCAAAAATATAAAAAGGAAACATTTCCTTTTTAATTCATAGTGCAGCGTTCATTTACTAGGCAAAAACATAAATTCCCGTCTAGCAGCGCGAAAGTGTTAAGCTTTTTCTATCCTCCCCTTTGACTCTACTCTGTCAACAGTGAGCCCCCTCGGTTGCCTATAAATTCGTCACGCGGCTCGATATCCCAACCCCATTTCCCGGGGCAACGCTAAATAAAGAGGTAAAGGTCGACGTGTAACTAAATCCCTCCGCTGCACGACGATTTTCAACCCGTGTACATCATCCGTATTCGCGAGCTCTGCTTTTTGTCAATTAATCTGCAGTTATCAGTAGGTCGGGATAGGATGAATTCGTGCGACGTTGGGAAACCAGCCGAGGGGAAGTTGGTCATTTGTATGACGCCAGCGTGCTGCTGTATATACGGGCGTTATCTGTACACCGAGCTTCGCCCCTCTGGGGAAGAACGGCCTGTGACACGTTAACGTGAGACCACGAAACGAGAGAGGGACGAAGGGGAAAGTTGTTGGTTGCACACGATGGAAAGAGGATACCCAGCCTCTATGTTTGGGTAGAACGTTGTTTATGCGAAACAGTCAGCACAGCGAGTTACGATGTCAGCGGCTCGTTCTGGTTGGCTTCGTTTGATAATTCGATAGCACTTTTGCACCTCGAGCATAGCGATTCTCGTCTCTCTTCTTTTTTCTTTCCGCGTTTCAAGCTACACGCGCTCGGTTACGGTCCAATTAAATTTATCCGACTGTGTTTTCGACCTCGAGAAAAAAGCGTGTCCGCGATCCAGTGACTGTAAAAGGGTAGTAGAAAGCGTAGAAGAGACGAGGACAAGAGAATACAGCTGTTACATCCTTTTCCCTTTCTCATTATTTTCTTTTTCTTTTTTATGAATTTCGAAAGCTACTGTGATTCGTTCATCTCGAACATGAGTCATTATTACGAGTCTACAACGAAAAGCAGCTAAAATTCCCCGTTTCATTTCCCCGCAAATGATAAAAGCTACCGCGTTTTTCCCCTCCACAGTCTTCTCATCCATCCAAAAATAATAAATAAGGACAGATGTACTCATCAAGGATCATCAAGGAGAGTTGAATATTCCAGGAAAGTCGAATCTTTTGCGAATCATTTACGAATCATTTTCGTACGTATCTTGAAATTTTTGAAGATTTATAGGTACGAACGTATGATCAAGAATTCGAAGAAAATGGGTCTTTTATGGGTTTCTTTCGTATTTCGAAAGATTTGGAGATGAAGGGAAACTGCTCCTTTTCTGTGGCTCGCCACGTTGTGTTAGTAAAGTCGTGATGAACCATGCTTTTATTCCCAACTTTCCTTTCGGATCAATCCCTGTCAATCGCGAATAGGTATCGTTCCATGTCGTTCTGATGATGATGGATGATGATGGAGAGACTGTTCCTAGGTATACTAACGAGGCAACCGTTCGAATAGAGCTCGCGACCATTCCGACGGACGAGTTCATTCGGGGAAACTCGAACAGATTACGGGTAACACGTGTCCAGTCGTACACGCAGAAGGGAAGAAGTCGAAAAACGAGAAAGAGACTCACATGAGATGAAAGAAAACGGATATCCCGATCTCGTTCCTCGAGATTAACACGGATTAATCCAGGGAAAGCGAGGCGTTTAATGAGCAAACAAGATCCATGTGATTTTTCTTTTATCTTCCGCTGGAATATCGAGGAGAATTTTACGAGTCTGTTGGAATTTCTCGAGCCTTCCTTTCTTTTTAAGAAGAAAGAAAATATTTCAAAGAAGTTAAGTTTCTTTTGGGGTAATTCCTTCGTTGGCGGAAAAATGTATGAGCTACCGTGTAAGAGTTACGAGACTAATGGATTCCATTAAAAATGCTGCTTACAGTGGCTGCAAAAAATATTGCCATATTATCGTATTTATTACAGCGTTTGCGTATTAATCAACGGGGTCCAAGCATATTAAATTTCATATCATTTTGTATTTCTTTTATACGGCTACAAACATCTGATACAATGAAAATGAATTGTAGAACGTATTAATAAAACGCCTAAATATGCGTTTTGTCGCCCTCCTGGATATTTGAAAATATCAGTAACATTAATTATGAAGATTCATATTAATTATGTTAGATTAACATTACAAGTAAACTGCTATTATTTGTTTCTAAAAAAAACATTGTACATTTATCATCTATTTTTAAAAGCCTTGGAATTTATCGAGTTATATTCCACTCTTCAACTATTCCACGTTAAAATATCTACTTTTTTTTTTAACCAAGTAACACAAAAGTGAGGAAATCAATAAAAATGGACTTGTCGGATCGTTTCCGCGAGGTTCTTGCTGTATTTTTTGTTATAGAGATCAATAGAAACAAACCATGACTAACACACCCACTAACGAAGTTTCTACTTCAGACTATTACAACAACAATATACCTTTCACGAAATATAATTTCACAAACCCAATTGTTTTGCTTGTAGCGCCTGTGCAACTTCGTGAAATATCGAAGGAGGGCTCGCAGCGGCGTCCAAACGATGCCAATAATGACTCAGCCGAAGGGGATTTGCCCGTTTTTGAACCGACAGCGGCGAACGTCAGCGCATTCGTCGGACAGACCGTGTACCTGCCATGCCGCGTGCGAAATTTGGGAGATAAAGTGGTAAGCCGCAGTAATTTTCTTGCCAAATGGAACGCTAGTTACCCATCGAACCTTGTTATTTCCGAAGACAGCACGAAGAAACGACGAGAAATTATGAGTGTTCTATATTTTCTCTTTTTATTTTACTAAACAGAACTGAGAGGAAGAAAAAAATGTTTAGCCTCGTAGATCGTATTTTATAAAAGCAGCGTGAGTTTTATAACCGATATGAAAAGTTGCACCGTAAAGGTGCCACGTAAAAATACCAAGGCTGAAAGTGTCCCCCCGGCTAGCGTTTCGTTAACCAGAGGCAGTAAAGGTTCCTGCCACTTTTCAAAATCCTAGACTACAGGCCTTCTTATCTTGTTCCGTACTACCAGGAGAGAAGTTTTTGTTCGTGAATATAGCGACCTGTAACTTTAGAATAACCTGTTGGTTAATTGTCCTTGCAGAGGATATCAGAGATTATTGTTATATCGTATTTTATTTGGAATATTCAGACCAATTAAGGATCAATGTGGCAATTTCTTCCAACGAATTTACGTTACTGAACGTCGTTTTTCGATATTGCACTTACGCTACTTTCAAAGAATTAATTCATAATTTCTTCTTCACTGTTTCCTCCTCCACTTGGATTCTACAGTTTTATAAAGTTGAACGAAATCGAAGTATCCATAGCAGTATGACACGAACTATTTTTATTTCAAGTTATCCTTTGAAAATAATGAAAAAATAATTTTTCAAGAATGTCGAAATCAATATTTCTGATATAAACATCTTCTACTACATTTAATAGAAAGATAATTTTGCGAATATACGATCAGTTGACATGGTATTGAATTAAAAAATATTGAAAAACAAGAAACGTGAATTATCATTCTATGCTTTCCGTGTAATACATTGTTGAGAATTGTGGATCTTAATTGACGAAATAACAGTAAAGGAATACTAAGGTTACACTTAGAATTCATATTAAAATAGTTCTGGATTTATTTAATAAACGATTTCCAGGATCTTACATTTCGATATACATTTGCACGTGTCTCAGTACTTCCTTTGTCTCACCATCTTCTATACCAAACTGCCAACGGAACAGTTACATTCATCTGTTTTTCGAGACGCCGCGCACACACATACTTCCACACACTCATATTCACATACGTGTGTCACTACTACGTGGCTAATCTAGTCTAGCACACAAAATTATACATATCTTAATGCATATAATAATTGAAATTTCACAATCATTTAAAAGAACGATGCAAGTATTCGTAAAAATTACGACCGTCGCAATCCTTTAATCTAGAAGTGATCGAAAAAATCAACTTAAAGAATTTCATTTGAGAAGTATGTTTTATATATTTGCCCAAATGTTTAGGTGTACAACAGTGTGCCTCGTAACGTATCACCGATAAGCGATAGCGTACATATTAAACCTCAAAGGAAACACGCTGATGTCTCTGTGTTCCTTCCTCTATGTGCCTCGTTTTGATCGATTGTCACGAACACGCCAGCCGTGCAGGCTTTTAGAAGCAGTCAGTGTCTACGGTTTTCGTGCTGGCTGGTTTCTAATCGTGACCGCTGTATTTATTGGTCGGCCGTTATTACGGAAACGGCGATTTGTCATGGGCTGGTATTAATTACACCAGGCGGGGTGCAGAGATAACGGAGGCAAAGGGCTACGACGTCGCCGTTGTCGTCAGAGACGCGAGACAACCTGTTTGAATAGAAATTGGCCTACGAAATGGGAACCGGGGACTCGAGCGCAACTTCCGAAAATTAATTGTTACAGGGCTGTTGCAAAGTACGCACACTGCCGGAATACGGGGCTGTCTCTAATCGAAATTCTCCGGCCTCGTTGACTTACTAGTCCCTCTAGTGTATTTCATAATATAAGCGAACTTACAAGTGAAACGATTCGATCGTGTGCGGCCATTTGCTACGTTTTGGAGAAATCTTTAAGGGGTAATTATGATCTTGGGTCGTTTTCAGATACCTCTAGTTTCGGAGAGATAGGCGGAATTTATTGGTCTTAGATAATGTTCCTAAGAAGCACGAATAGAGACCACACGAGAGAAGAGACTGGCAGAGATATTTAGCCCACCGAGAATCAAGCTTTATAGTAGTTCGCTATATAACTCAGGGACACAGGATAATTTTCATAATTTCTTTATGCTGCTATAAATATTGAATTCCTCTTTATATGTTATAAAATTGTATGGCTTTAAGAACAGGTGTTTTACGGAAATACAAAATCAAACATTTTATAAAAATCAAAGAGGCAAAATAACTTCTGTAATTTAAAATAAAAATAGTTCATATTATGATGCCATAAACACTTGAATTTCAATTGTCATAAAATTATAAGATCTAGTATGTAATAGTATGTAATAGTATATGTAATAGTATATACTTGTATGTAATAGTTATGTAATAGTATATACATTACAGAGGATGGATCACTATATAAATCGGAGACATAAATTAACTTTCACAATTGAAAATACAAATATTTTGTACTTTCTAATAACTACTACAAACATTCGAATTTCATTATGTATTAATTGTAGGATCGACATAGATTCGTAAATGCCTGTGAATTTTCTCTATCAGGTGAGAAAGCCAACTATTATCTTAATTTTCCATTTTGCTTTCCAAATAACCACGATTAATTACAACGAACAATTCCTGTTGCCACGGACAAAGAATTCCTAGCGAGTCTCCAAAGTTTTTCCTCCTTTTTCTCCAGTGAACACTCTGGCTATTTAATTCTCGTTTCCGCGGATCTTGCGCATTTTTCTATTTCATCGGTCGATTACCGTGCGGGAAATCGCGAAATGTTGCTGAAAGCGGTAATCAACGATTCCCTATAGTCAGCATTTCCACCAGCGATAAAATCTTCTTGCTAAAATCTTTCTCTGTGTCCCGGAAGCAAACGCGGACCAGGCGATGGTTATAAAAGTTTTGAAAATCGATCGCCAACTATTAGAGAGAAGACATAACCTTTCTAGGGATTGGATGGTAAAGGGCGGAAGCAAAGTATGAAAGAAAAGCGAGGAATTTATGCTAATCGATGATCATAATCATTTCACGGGGAATCACGGATCGTCGCACGCCAGCAATAACCTTGTCTGGTTGATTCGTTTTGCTCATAGACAATCGTTAGGTTAAGGGTCGCTTGACGCCGTGTTCGCTGGATATCATTTCGTTTTACCGCTCGTCGGACGTCGACGTTGTATTATTTCTGAATCCGATTCTCGGTGCCGGCGTCAAAGTGAAAAAGCCACTTTCTGGCTATCAACTTTCCCACCAATATTTTCCAATCGATCGGGCCCTGTCCGATTTTTTCCAATATATATTCTTTCGGTTCTTTTTTTCGTCTATTTTTAACCGAACGATCGGTTGTTTGATCAAAGATCGGCCGTAACATGGCATAATGGACAAGTCATATTCGATTCTCGACCGATTAATATGGAAGCTAAATGAAATTTAATCGAGGAGTTTTATCGATCAAACGCTGCACTCTGATTTTGACTAATTTTTACCTCGTTCGGTAAAAGCTCGCGGTCTTATTGCAAATTTTATGCATTTGTGAAAAAGTTCCACGTGATAATACGCATATAATATGCAAAAATATGTAGAATAATATAACACGTTGAGGTGAAAGATTTTTTTGAGAAAAAAGAGCGGCTGTCGTTTTTAAAAAGTGAAACAGATCTCTATTTATGTTTGACATTTATTTGCGTGTATAAAAGTACGTTTGTACATAAACTTCCACAGTTCAGTTAACAGTATTTAATCTGCCGCTAGGGGGATTAATAAAAGCTTGAAATTTTTGTTAACAAAATATCAATCACACGGACAAAACATATTTATCTTAGGTTACAAAACACTGGTGTTTGATCTCCCATAGATTTGACGGTATTATATTAATGTCGAAATAAAGTCGTTATTGTACATGCATTTCAAACAATTTTTTCGTTAACGCTATTGTACTGCACCTGCGTCCGTCCATGAATATTTCACCGATTCGAATATCGTGGCTACGTCCTTTTTAGCTCGTTTCCGTGTAGATTGAAACCGTTTTCGCGACATGCTTTCGATTCAATTTTCCCTATTTGAATCTTACTCTGTTTTCTTCCTTCATTGAATTTGTCTTCATTCATTTTCTTTTCAATTGATTTATTTTTAATTGAATGACGATTTATAGTTGTTACGGTGGTAAACGAAAATATCGAGACTTAAAAATTCTTCACAGTCTAATTATAAGGCAAATTAATCATTTTGAATCAAGTAACTCTATCTTATCCTACAGTATTCTGGGAAAATTCATATTAACCATGACTAGTGCTCGTGGTTGGTAAAGTAGCCGTATTTATTTTATTCCAACGCAGATTATTTTCGATCAATATTTACCAATACTTTATTTGACACGAAATGTTGGATGTAAATAGCGCAAAGTGGTCCGTGATTTGTTGACTTTGCCTGTGTCTACTCGCGGTTTTGATGGATGACCGGAAACAGCCTGTTTCGCTGTTTATGCAAAACTCGAGGAGTCGGTGTCGTGCGCCGCCTATCATTTCCGATGGCGCATATTCGCCAGGAATTTAAGAGCAGAGTCCCGCTTTCACAGACGTAACTTGCAATTTCGATTGTCCCATATTGAAATATCGGGCAAATATCGGGCAAATAACGAGCAAACAGCGAGGCAAACAGCGGGGCAAACAACGAGCATTGGAAATTACAGTAATGTAGTTCGATATTTCCCATGTAATTCATTCCACGACCGCGTGTTTTTGATTTCACGACTACATCGGCCACGCTACGAAACGCGAATATCAGTCAACAATCGAAGAAAGAGCGGTTAGATTGATGGCAGTAGAATGAACCCGTCAATAGCCAGACACGAATCTATCTAGCAAACTTTGGATACTCTGGCAATTTTAAAAATCCATTCTACGCGGAAATTCAAACGGTTTCACAGGCTGATGGAACAATGGATGACGGTAGGACAAAGCTCG